GGTCCATCAATCCATAAGCTCCTCCATGCTCTGTACATCCGCTGCTCTCTCTCTCTCTCTCTCTCTCTCTCTCTCTCTCTCTCTCTCTCTCTCTTGGGTCCATCAATCCATAAGCTCCTCCATGCTCTGTACATCCGCTGCTCTCTCTCTCTCTCTCTCTCTCTCTCTCTCTCTCTCTCTCTCTCTCTCTCTCTCTCTTGGGTCCATCAATCCATAAGATCCTCCATGCTCTGTACATCCGCTGCTCTCTCTCTCTCTCTCTCTCTCTCTCTCTCTCTGTGTGTGTGTGTGTGTGTGTGTGTGTGTGTGTGTGTTGCCAGGTTTGCTATACAAAACTGCATGAAGAAAGCGTGACTCGGCCAGGATGCCTTCGATTCCATCGCAATTCGATTTCACCGACTCATCGGGAGGCTGAACCGGTCCTTCGGGACATCCGTTAAAATTGGAACGATACAGAGAAGATTAGCATGACCCCTGCGCAAGGATGACACGCATAAATCGGCAGGCTGAACCGCGACAGTCTGACCAGGATGCATTTGACAGATGAATTTACGGACTCACCACGTCGCCCAGAGTTAGTGGTACACACCCTTGAGAGAGAAAAGTCGTCGACTTCACTCACACCAACCCCGCCATTCTAGCAGATTCTGCGCGTGTGTGTGTTGTAGATCTGCACCACAACAGCCCCTGTTGAACCCAGATGAGTAGATCCAAAATCAAATCGAACTCTTTTTTTTTCTTTTTTTTTTGTTGGTAAAACACACTCCCGTGCTAGTGGTGCTGACAAGAGCAGACACTGCTAGCACCCAGGGGGAAGGCTCCACCCATTGGTGGGGAGTATCATCTGCTGGAAAGCGGGTCCAGCGTCCCTTATACAGAATGATACAGCAAAATGACAGGACAGTATCTGAGAAATGTCATAAGAAAAGATGCAGAAGAAAAAGGAAAAAAAAACCCTGCAGATATAGCTGCCAGCATTGACTACCCCGGAAGGCCGGCGGTTTAACTGCGCAGGCTCCTCTATAGCAGACAATGAAGCACGCAATCCAGCAATGAAACAGTTTTACCTCTATAGCAAGCAACAGGGAGCAGAATATATTCGTTGTTTCCGTTTCGGGGTACCCGTTTTATTTGCTCTTGCAAGGCCCCTTTTACAATGCCTCTAATGTACAAGGCTGCCCACATTTGATTGTGGCTGAGCGCCAGCTGCCCACATCCCTCCTGGGCCGCGGGCCTCACACCTCGAATTCTGGAAGCGCGAAACGAAAAAGCGACCCAGGCCCAGCGTTTGACCTTTCGGCCTCGTTCTCTCTTGTGGCGACAAGTTTCAGACTTCTTCTCCCACTCACCTAGGCAAAGTTTCAGGAAACGTCTCAGAAACCCCCATCCATCCTCGTTACCTCACTCCGGCAAGACTTACTGCAGCAGAGCCACCATCTCTGCTGCTGCTATACCCTATTTCCATCCTACCAGCTAGTCCCCTCACTGGTAGGACGCTTGATATCCCGCCATCTACTTCCAACACCAACCAGCTTCGTTCTGACCGCAGATCTATGAATATAACAGCATCTCGAGACCACCAGAAGCAACTAAAAAACAATTTTGAAGGTTTGGGATACCAGGGCCATTACCCGGCTTTGGCAAGAAGCCAGATTAAGAAATTACTATGGCCATGTACTACGTCTTCATCTGAATAAAACGCCCGGTCATTTGCCCCAAATACAACTATAATGGCCGGGCGTTCTATTCGGGAGACCGTAGTGGTTTAATGGCACACCTGACGGTTATGATAGGAGGGAGGGTAAAAGGGGGGTTATACTCCTATACCTTTTTCTTCAGATCTTCAGTTTGTATTTTGTCTGTCTCCCACCAGTACTTCCTGAAGTCGTGCCCATATACAAGCCACAATTTCAGGAAACGCACGGGCCACTACAGGAGAGCCCAAATTCATCCGACTAGAACCGTTTCTACTCTATTGTTTTCCGCGTACGGGCCACTACAGGAGAGCCCAAATTCATCTGACTAGAACCGTTTCTACTCTATTTTTTCTGCGGCGCATAGCTGGGTCAAGTACTGGTGGTTTAGCTTCTGATCCGACAGGGCGCATAGCTGGGCCAAGTACTGGTGGTTTAGCTTCTGATCCGAGGGTGCGTAAACTGGACAATTTTGTTCAGAAATGCGGATCCCACAACTTTCCGATGTAGGAGGGTGCGGCACTTTGTTAGGGGTACATTTTCGGGTTTTGTGTACGTGGCGCATAGTCCGTGACAGACGGCCCAACGGCGCTACACAAAATGGAAAGCTCGAGGACCCCTACCCCTACCAAAAAAGCTGCCGCGAAAATGAGTTGGCCTTTTCGATGTCCGCCCGTGGTCGCGTGGTCTGTCGGTGGAGCACAGGACCGTGCGACGTGTGCGAGGTGCTTTCCCGGTAGTGCGACATTATGGGGCTCGCCGTTGTCCCGTGGTCGCTCAAGGCATTCTGTGGCAGTTCCCGTTGGGTAGTGAAAGAAGCCGTTTTTTGAAGTGTCGTGTGCGCGCTTCGTCGTTTTCGAATATTTTAAAAACGAGGCGCGCGTGGTAGCACGTGTACAACAGTCATTTCCTGGTTGTTGGCAAAGTCTATGGAATTGCTTCCATAGCCGGCGTGCGCAAGCAAGGCAGCAGTTTTGCAGTTTTCGTCGTCGTGCGCGGCAAGCAGGTATGGAGCAGGACTGCAACCCGAGTCTGTCTGCGTTGGCCTCGGCGTCCCGCATGGAGTCTGCGAGCGGAGATGTGCCGCCATCGATCTCGGCAGCTGGAGCATGGCCAGGGGGGCGCAGCGCGGCTCCGCGGGTCCCTTCTATGCCCGGTGGTCTCCCCCCCTTGCCCACTTTCAAGGCGCCTCCGCAGTGGGACTGTCGAAATGTGTTCTCGCCGCCAAGGTCGGACACAAGCATTCCTCCGCAACGTGCTGAGGAGTCCTTCTCCTCCCTCATGGGCCAGGCTGCAGGCGGCCAACCGCAATCGCCGTTTCAGAGAGGTTTTCCCGCGTCGATGGGGTGGGGCATGCCGCATGCGCACGCAGGCGTTCCACGTACGCAGCGGTCGAGGTCCTTCGACGACTCGATTACAGGTGGGAGAGTCCATACGGGTGTGGCGGGCGAAGATGGTAGAGCGGCGATGCAGACTTCCAACATGGAAGTCGGCCTTCGCGGGCAGGCGGAGACGCAAAGAGGGGCCTTTGGCGGGGGAGGTCCCCCCCCCTCTGCCCCATCGCCCGATCGAATGGATTTCGCACCGCAGGCAATGGAAGATGGGGACAGTCGGCGGCCCTCCCCCAACGCAGGAGCGCAGGACGCGTGCAGTGGTCCTGTGGAGGACATTGCCGGAACGCGGGCAACGCAGGGGATGGCGACTGCAGGTGTGGGGGAGACAGGGGAAGGCAGTAAGAGCACAGCAACGGCGAGCAATGTCGGTGGGGTTGGAGAGTCTGCCGCAAAAGGAAAGAGTCGGGGCGATAATTGGAGATTGGATGAAACGTTGGCGCTGCTACGATACCTTGCGGAAGACGATGCTATGCACGTTAACAGACCGAGGAGGCAGCAGATGAAGGGGAAGAAGGAGAGGTATGAGTGGATGGTGTCGAAGATGGTGCAGCAAGGCTTGGCGAAAAGACTGGTGGGGGAGTGCAAGAGAAAGTTCTACGCTCTCGTGGACCACGCGAAGAAAATCAGGGACTGCCATAACCGGTCCGGCGAGCGAATCTACTGGAACATGGACAAACAGGAGAGAAAGCAGGCCGACTTGCCCCTGCATTATGAGCAGCAATGCTGGGACGCGATCTAGTGGAAGTTGGGGAAGTCTTCCGGATCTTGCGACCGGGTGGTGAACTTCGTTGATGTTCTTGGAGGTGTCACCAGCGTTGTCACATCAGATGACGAAGGGGGGGTGGTGAGCGAGGGGACTGTGCCACGCAGGCGGGCTGAGAGTGACATGTCGGAGGGGTCAAAGTACCAGCGCACCGGGAAAGGAGGGCGACGCAGCAGATCAGACTCCCCGGCTGCAGGTGGCAGAGACGAAACCATGTCGGACATCGCGACAACTTTGGCGGATTCAAACAAACAAAATGCGGAAATGCTTGCGGGAACTTTCGTGATTGCGTTGGAGGGGCTGAACAAGATGATGGCAGATGGCAATACCACTTTGCTTCAATGCTTCACCATGCTGACGGGGTCCTTGACCAGACGTCCTGCACGCGATTCCAACGACCACGGGGGTGAACGTGGACCAGACAGGGGCGGGTAAGGTCGACCGCATGAGCAATGAGCTCAGCGCACGGATTTGGGCATTGTGATGTGGGTGGTGGAGATGGTCGGATCCCACCACGCCTCCCCTCATTGCGCCTTCCGTCGTTGTCATTGTCTTCTCTTGTGGTGGTCGGCGAGTGTGTTGTTTGGCTGTGATGCGCGAGTTTATCTTTATTTTTTTTTGCCTTTCGTTCGTCGTTCTGTGCGTGCAGGACTCCCTTCGAGCCGTCGGCATGGAACCCACGTCTTCCCCAGCGAAAATTCCTCTCGACGATGTTCCGAACATGGCCAGAGACTTCGCACTCGTTCACCGCCGAATGATAGAGAACGCGCACGAGCTCGCAAGAAAGAGAGGGGTCTTATTTGAGCGTGTGACACACGATGGTTGCAGAGCTGAAGCGAATGCGCGCCGATGTCGATGACGTGAACTTGAGGGAGGTCGTCGCCGCATCCAAGCTGGCGAATTCTGAGCGCATTGTTGCGGAGCTGCAGAACGAGGTCGACCGGCTTCGTGCACGGGTTCTGATGTTGGAGGGGGAGGTCTGCAGGGCCCAGGAGGGGGGCCGAACGATGTCGACGTCCATGGACAGTCCATCTTCTCTGAGCGGAGGGACTGTCACTAGTGTTGTTGTGTCCTTCTGCCAGCAAGGAGTGGAGGTAGCAGTCCGCTCCCATGGCCGTAGGATAGTTGGCGGTGCGGAGGTCCATGGTAGGCCATGCTCGAATTCGGGGACTCGGAGATCTCCGGCCACCAACCACCGCGAGATCGACCAGATCGCCGAACGTTTACGTAGGACATTCGCGGGGGATGCGGACTCGTCCACTGGTGGCATGGCGGGGGAAGTGGGAGATGCCATCGCCGCAGTCAGGATCAGCGCCAAGGTCCTCATCGCCTGTTTCGGATTGCAGTCTTCCTGTAGTTGCCACTTGTTTTTTTTGGAGGGGGGGGGGGCTTGGGGGATGTGGAGGAGGAGGGGCGGAAACTAGACAATTTTGTTCAAACAACAACCGGTGTGAAATTGGAATTCATGTAACTATCAATTTGGGAATGTCGTGGACATTTTTGAAATCCCGTGGAACGTTCGTGTGGTCGATGTGACGTCGTTGTCGGTCGGGAAGTGGTGTGTGCCGCACATCAAGTCATGTGTGTGTGGACGTCGTGTCACTGTCATTTTTAAAAGCGTGTGGACGTCGTGTCATTGTCATATTGAAAATCGTGTGGAATGTTTGCAGTCTTAAAATTTTTGACATTTTTTGTATGTGTATTTGTTTTTTTTTTTAATTATTTGTTTTCTGATATGTGTTGTCAAGGTTCTTTTCATGTCATTTCATAGCACACCGGGATGTTGCGGATGTCCTTTCTCGTCTGTCAATGAACCGCTAACGACAAATGAACCAAAAACATTAGAACCCTTTCATAATTTTGCAGCCCGCTCTGGACCAACCATCCCCACCAGCCGGCAGTCTAGATGGCGAGTGGTGAAAATGGTTGTAGGTCCGCCTTGCAAAAGGTGTGCATGGTGGACGTTGGGGACACTCTCGCAGTCCACAACGCAGGTTCGGAGGACGACGGCATTCAGTGGTGGTCGGTGCGGGTGGTGGAAGGGAATTTCGTGGTCGCGGAGATTGAAGTGATCGCTAACGAGTGGCGGGGGAACCATGTCTGGCTGCAGGCGAGTGTGCATCAAGCGGGTTGGTACTTGACAGGTGAAATTGGGAATTGGTAAGGGGTCATGCTCTGCGAAGCCTCGTTTCTGTCGTGATGGAACGCAAGGCTTGGCAATACTTGTGTCGCGAATGGATCGTCTCTTTAGAGGAGGACTACACTGATGTGTTCTTGGAGGGACGGAAGGAGCGGCTGATGCCATATAAAAGTCGACGAACGAACAGCTGGCTCCCGGAGAAGACATTCGACGGGGTAGAGTAGAGGAGACTGCGCACACTGGACTGGGATTTTCACCATTCCCGATCCAGCTCAGACGACCGAGAGAAGACGGGGACCGATCATAACAAACGCAGATGTTGAAGGGTTTGTGTTTGGGGTCATTGATGACTGGGTTGCATTGATTGATTAATTGATTGATTGATTTATTGATGGATTGATTGATTGATTGATTGGTTCATTGATTGCTTGATTGATTGAGTAATTCGTTGATTGGTTGATTGATTGAGTGATTGATTGATTCATCAGCGGGGGGGGGGGTCACCCATGAAGGTTTTTTTTTTTAGTGCGTCACTGTGCGTGTCCCACATACAATAACAGCAACGACAAAGAGAACACGACGGACAGAGACCCGAACACGGAATAGCGAATCGCATGGACAATAATTTCTTTTTTAACGAGCATTGGATAAAAAAGGATACAATTTGTAGTTTGCCATGGAATGGTCTCTCTCTCTCTCTCTCTCTCTCTCTCTCTCTCTCTCTCTCTCTCTCTCTCTCTCTCTCTCTCTCTCTCTCTCCATGCACATGTCTACGTGCACATGTCTATGCATGTAAGCGCTCTTGAAGCAGTAATATCTATCTACATTATTAGATCTATGTCTATCGCGTGGGGTCTTTGGCTCAACTGCCAAAAACACGGTTAACGTGCAACACATGGCGGGCCAAAGCAAAGTGAATCTCCTCTCCCTCTTCGAAACGTTGGCCATGAGAGAGGTAGTGGTTGTCCCCCCTTTCGTCTTTTTCGTCGTTGTCAGTGCCTCCCACTGCTTCTTCTCTCGGTCGTTGGTCCCGTGCATGTTGCCCCTCCCCTCGCTCGCGAAGAAGCACATCCTCGTTGATAGGAAGGCCCTCGTCAATAATGATATTATGAAGTATGCAGCAGGCGATGAACTGTTTGCAGATGTTTTTCAGGTCAGGAATGTGTCGCTGACCGAAACAGCGTCACATGCCTTTCAACCTCCCGAAGCATCTTTCGATGCTTGCTCGCAGAGCCGATAACTTCGTGTCGAAGGCAGATTCCACTGCATTGCGTACATTGCCCCCGAAAGGGGTTATCAGCCATGACAACAAAGGAAATCCGGCGTCACCCAAGACGTACCTCCCAATCACCGTGACTGTCCCATCAGACAACACGTTCGTTCGCTTGGTGAATGGCTCCCTCCCCTCCTCCACACGATTACCAACGTCTGAAAGTCGCCAGACGCGCGAGTCATGCACGGAACCAGGAGCCCCCACGCACACATCAAGAATTCAGAGATTTTCATCGCACGACACACACGACTTGACCGACGATAGAGTATTGCGTCGTTCTATCGTAATACAACTCCGCCTCCCCTCCACGTGGCTTGTTCATGTAGATATGGGTGCAATCAACAAGCCCGACACAACCGGGGAATCCTCTCGCCTCGAAGTAGTCCACTGGCAGCGTTGCTTGCAGACGTTCCCCGCTCGACCATTGCAGTTTGTCCCTGTACTCGCGCAGGAGGGCATTGGAAACATCATGAGTGCATCGGACAGCGCTGTGTAGACCGATGCCGAAGTCGTTCTCGCACTGACGGTAATACCCACCTGTCGCCCATCTGTACAAAGCGAATGCGAACTTCAAGTTCGCTGCCAATGGCGCACACCATGGGGTCACTTGCCTTTGGATGTGTGGAGCGATGCGGGCCAAAACGCGGACAAATGTCGGTTTCGTGAGCCTCGTGTACGACCGAAACTTCTCGTCGTGCTCCGCAACCTTCATCATCAGCTCCTCCCACGTCCCCCCGACACGAGGGCGCACCCAAAAACGCCGCCGACCACGGATTCTGAAATGCCAACCTCTCCCGCGACCTTGCCTTCGTGCGTCGTCGACCACCAAAATGAAAGTTGTTGTGGATGTCGTGTACGAGGCAACAATGCTCGTTGCCACGTGCAGGATGATAAGTGCAACCATGAATGTCACGTATTGCCTCATCCTTAGCCATCCCATGGTAGCCACGCACATCAAAACCACTTCGGCCGGTTCCATGGTTGCACGTGCGAACACATGGTTGTGTGTATGTGCGCCTTAAAGTTTGCACCCCGCTCCCACCTAAGAAAGCTGCCCACGTCTACCTTCATCTTTTGCACTGCCTCAAAGGCTATGGTGTGTGCAACGCGTCGTGCAGACCACCCCCGTCACCAGCGACGCAACGCCACAATGTCCACTCGTGTGTTTCCGTTGCGGCGGTGGACGGTACCAGTTGTGACCCGTTTTCAAAAATTTGCACAGAACCGACCGAACAACGACTCGCGGGTCGGTGGAGCAGTCCCAGTGCGACAAGCGGTTGGGCCAGGTTCCACTCTTTCCTGGTCGTTGGCAAATGCCGTGTCACCCACTTCCGGAGGCCCGGCCATACGGTGGTCCACAGGAACATCCGTTACCGTGGAAGGCCAAAAAATCCCGCCGTAGTACTTGGGAAAGGCCCGTGGATCCGTTCGTGTGGGGTCCGAGTTTGCTTTTCCGCCCCATTCTCCCCATTGCCTTCTTTCTAGGGACTTTTTTGTTTTTTAAGGTTTTGTGTATTGTCGGATCAACGCCTTAATGATGCTCATTCGTGTGCATTCATCCGTTTTTTTTTGTGTCTTGTTAAACATACCCACGAGACCCCCATCCTACCACCTCTCTCGATGTATCTCATGGCGCAACCCCACTCCTTTTCTATCTTACCTCATGCGAGGATCATCACTCTCTACTGGAGTAACCTGACCAGACAACGGATGTCGGCACTGACACTAAATGAGCTCCCCCAGTCAGCCCCAGTTGAGGCACTAGGGTACAAGCCTCGTTTATACGCGTACCTCGGAAGGGCGCAAGGTTCTCGACTAGCCCCATGCACTGAGCTGTGAGGGCACCCATAGGCAGTGTCTAATGGCCAGCTAACCAAGGTCTAACCCATGAGCCCCCTACCTCTCTAAGCACGAACCCAGCACAACGCGGTTCATATATGGCTACTGTTGTTTGGTGAATATGCTGGTTATGTGAGCTAGTGTGATATCATAGTCTGTATGGATGTATGCGGTTGCTTTCTTGCTACTAATGAGCCTTGCTTGTGACGTACCAGCTTCCGTACCCTAACGATCTTCCGGAGCCCCAAGTTTTTGTTGTTCTGACTCTTCGAATTTCTTGGCCTCTCGTTGGGTACCTCTTCTTTTTGCTATCTCCTCAATGCATGGAATTGCAGGCCGACCAGGCCCTCTCGTGTCTAAGACGACGTTTCTTTTTTATTTCGCTGTAATTTCCTTTCGACAAATCCATGCATCTACGTAGGAATTACGCGCGCATAAGCGACCGCGCTAGGGAGCTTGTTCGGCAGTTGAAAATTTTTGGATTTACGGGCGCCCTTCTCACTGATGTGTCCTTTCTTGCAAATGGATGTTCTCGTACCCGCCCTTGAAAGATCTGTGAATTTTCAATAGGAAGCTAGATAGACATAGGATTTTTGCATACTCAATCCCACGCGCTGGTGCTGCATTTGAGTTTCTCAATCTTGAAGTAGCTTTAGGATGGAACGTAACTGTTTTGGTGGCTTTATCTTTTCTGCACCGGCACCATGCATGCAAGCTTTTCGCGCTTCCTGCTAAGATCCATGCCATCTTCACCCTAAAAAGATCCTATGGTCAAACCCACCAACTTCAGCCTTCAGCCAATAATTTGGAGTTGTTTTGCTACTTATTTGATCCCGGGAGGATTTAAAGCGCACCAGTACACCACACATCGGCACGAAACCCGCACCAGTTCGAAGGTTGCCGATTTTTTTTTTTCAATGGCGTCCCATGCCGCGTGGCCCCTCCGAGTTTTGCTTGTGGCAACAGAAACTTTCTGCAAGGCTGAGGCCGTATACGTGCGGTTTAAACCCGAGTTTGGTTATCAAGAGTTGAGCGGTATACCGCACAGCCAGACATCAAAGACAACATGCGAAAACGAAAACATACAACGTGTGTACTATCACGGATAAGGATATACTCACACTAGGACTTCCTTGGATTTTTTATTTTTATTTTTCATTATTATTATTTTTAACAACCCGAGCGGGTGCTAGGGGTGCTGATAAGAGCAGGCACCACTAGCACTCCCGGGGAGGCTCCATCTATTGGTGGGGAACAATACCTGTTGGAAAGCGGGTCCAATGTCCCTTGACATTGTAGCTGTTTGTTGTTTGTTTATAGACGTGTGGTTGTAGTGATCGGTAGCTGCAAGGCACGCCTGCAAAGAATGACTTCTGACAGTCAGGCCTACGCTGCTACCTGATTGTTCCTTTGAACACTTGTGCACTTAATGTTTGCAGCTAGCTGCAGTGTCGTCCTGCAAAAGGAGGCTTTTGGCACGTAGTAACCCGAGGTGCTTGCCAACTTGTCCGCCTAATGTAGGTAACAGTATCCACTGAGCCTATAGCCCCTAACAACCATTTCGTCAAAACGGACATATTATATTTTTTGAACGAAATCAAAACTGACTTTTTTTGCCAAAATCCGGTCGGAATTTTTTGCTCCTGGGGGTCCGGCGTTCCCAAAACGCCGGACCCCCTACATGTATCTGGTCTATGGTTGAGACCAGATACAGGAATTTTTTGCTCCTGGGGGTCCGGCGTTCCCAAAACGCCGGACCCCCTACATGTATCTGGTCTATGGTTGAGACCAGATACAAAAAAAAATATATTTTTTTTTGTATCTGGTCTCAACCATAGACCAGATACATGTAGGGGGTCCGGCGTTTTGGGAACGCCGGACCCCCAGGAGCAAAAAATTCCTGTATCTGGTCTCAACCATAGACCAGATACATGTAGGGGGTCCGGCGTTTTGGGAACGCCGGACCCCCAGGAGCAAAAAATTCCGACTGGATTTTGGCAAAAAAAGTCAGTTTTGATTTCGTTCAAAAAATATAATATGTCCGTTTTGACGAAATGGTTGCTCCCTGGTACGAGCCTTGGATGCAGGTTGGCTAGTTTACTTTACCCTTCTCAACCACCCAATCGTACCCCTCCCCTCCCAATCCCCGACCTCCACCCTCACTTTAAACCACCAGTATTTGGCCCAGTTATCGGTCGTGGTAAAAAATAGAG